GAGTCTTTTTCTTTTGTTTTTAGATTAAACAAAGTTCTTTTTGGTTTTGCAATAATTATCAATGCAGACTTTCTTAGGCATTCCAAAGTTTAATAAAAAAACTATTTTATTTGAATCCTAATACTCAGTATAAACATTTTATAAATGCTTTTGCATACTACAGGATGGTTTCTGATATAAATCTGTCACTATTAAAATCAAGATTATTAAAAAAGAGAAATAAAAGATGGCATAAAATTAAAAAAAATGAACATGATAGTATTAAAGAGGAAATTCAAAGCCTTCTATTAACTCCAATTCCATTGCAAGCATCATTTAGTTTTCAAAAAAACCTAAGCAAACTTTCAACTATATTAGATAAATCAGTATCTATCTCTTGCCCTTCTACTTTTTCTACATTTTATGAATATGAAATACCTTCTAATGCTACAGCCCAAAAAGCAGTGAATGAAAAAATTAAAAATTCAAAGGCAAAAATTATTGAATTTGAATTCTTATTTAATCTAGCTACAGATATAAGTATTCGAAATAATCTTTCTATTCGGATACAAGAATATAAAGAAATTATTAATGAATGTTCAAAGAGAATTAATACTCTCAAACAACATGCAAACAATCAAGCCCGAATGGAGACAAAAAAAAAAAGCAACTTCAAGAAGAAAGTATTGTTGAGCAATGGGATGAACTTGGAAGACCATCAATACTTATACAAAATCCAGACTTTCTTGAAAATATTCATGACTGTGTTAAATTCAGTGAAGCTAATCACAAGCATAGAAAATCTGTAATTAAAGTTAGAACTATTACTCATTTAAAAAAGAAACTTGAAAAAAAATATGAACTTTATATAAGCAGACAAACTTTATCTACTTATCTTTGGCCAAAACACCCTAATACTTTTTTAGCAAAGCAACATCACCACTCTGCAATAGTTCAAATTTAGTCAGTATTAAGAAGTAAAAAATCTGACCATTCTGATAGCCACTATTGCCTTGCTTTAGTAAAAGGTGCTCGAACTTTTGCTTCATTATTTTCTGATTATTCTATTATAATCTCTTAAGATGACAAAGCAAAAGTTTCTTTAAGAATTCTTGCAGTTGGTCAAACTTTTAAATTAATTAAAATAGTCAATGAGCCTGTTTTTCTACCTGACTATAATTTTTCTTTAGAAAATAAAATAAAATTGATCTTATCTATATACATCAGAAAATTTTTTATATAGATACATATCAATATATAGCAATAAATCGATGTATATCGATTAGAAAATAACAGTATATATTAATAATTTAGGCTAAATAACGATATATAACTAAGAAACGATATATACCGGTAAATGATAAATATCGTTAAATAACTAATTATTGATATATATCGATTATGTTAATATTGATATAAATCATTTATTAGTTCAAGAGGTGTGGTGACTTAGTGTAGTGGTCTAGTCATCACCCTCTCCAAGTGGCAGGTCTAGAGTTCAAATCCCACGGA